ATACCATCAAGTCGCTGCATCACCGGCTTGAGCATATCCGCCAGGAGTTTGAGGACATCTGCTCCCTCTTCCGGTCTCGGACTCTGACTGCCTGGCTTCGTTTTAAACTTTCTCTGCTGGGCCGCCATCTTTCCCGTTTTGTTTACAGTTTCTACCGCTTCCACACAACTCGGAAAACTCGCCAAACAACTTTGCGATTCAGATAAGTCTCTCAAAACACTTTCGGTTTACTTCCTCCCCTCTCCCCTTTCGTGTTCATTAGCCGCTCATTCGCACAAGAGGTGTCCCTCTTTGCAATCATTGTTTTCAACCGCGGGGGGGGGTAGCTTTTCAAACTACTCCGTTTTATTCAGAACTCACGTTCATTGTCGGTCAGTTTCTCTGACCACGCTCAGTTTTACGCCATTCCGCTCGATCTCCAACGCTTGTCCCGGTCTGTCCAGCTTATGCCCGAAGGCCACTCAGTGACTGGACTGTCGGGGCGGAGGGGAGCCTCAATTCTCCGGCATTACGCCATCAAAGAGGCTACCCCTCAAAAGCCCCCTGGCCTGGAGCCTACCACAAAGGCTCCTTGGGGGTGTCACTTGAGGTGGCACCCCTCCAGGCCGCTGGCGTGCGAACCGCCCTTCCCTGTCTTGGGAAGAGTGTCCGCCATCGCTGTTCCATAGACCGGAAGTCTTGACAGGAAGGTTCCTATGGGAGAAGGGAGACCTTCAGGTATACTGGCCTTAAGCCATAGAGGATTGAGGCCTTCCTCATGTCCTCAAGAAGCCCATTGTATAAAACCAGAGTGGCTGCCAAGGAAGCCTGAGCAGAAACTGTTCTACCATCCTGAGTGGAGGAACTGTTAGTAATTCCTTTTCTGGTGGTTGAAACTGTCTCGTGAACATATATAGGTGGAGGCCGTCCAGTACCATGATTTATACATAGAAGGAAACTGGCAGCCAAGACAGCGATCTTAAACTTGGGGTCATATGTTCAAAATGCTTAAACCCCATCAATAATCTATCTGATCCATTCTGTACCAATTATTCCTTCCATGCTGTACTCAAGGGCTGCCCCATATAGCGCATATTACAGTAGTCCAATCTCAAGGTTACTATAGCATGGTTGGTCACTGTGTACCAAGCACAACCAAAATCTGTAACCCGAAAAGCTTATGAAAATAAAGTAAATCTACATAAAGTTGGGTCTTTTGCATAGATAATCGTGCTTCGTTTAACTTTAGACAGTAACCAAACCCACTGACCAAAGAAATCCTCTGCTTCTTAGGGTCCCCTCTGACTTCAGCAAGCATTACCCATATGTGTTTTCAAACTCATTTCCACAGTCATCAGGACTAGGATTGTGGTCTGTTTGTTCATTTAAAAACGAAAACTGCAGTTCAGCAGTTGCCAAGCTCTGCACTAGTGCATTCAGAAAAGACACACTGTCTTGGTAGTCCTTCCAATACCTGGTCTGGCAGTTGCACATTCAGTTGTCAAATGTTTTCAGAACATTTCTGTAGAATGAGTTGGAATTCCTCTTTATTTCAGAACAACTAAGAAACCCAGAGATGTCTTAAATGTTTTTAAATAGCTTCAAAGAGGCCTCTTAAATGTTTTTATGTAGCAGAGAAAAGACCTTCTAGATCAGGGGTGTCAAACATGCGGCCTGGGGGCCAGATCAGGCCCCCGGGCCAGAGGTCTTCCATCAGGCCCACAGTGGAACTGGCCATATCCTGCTTCCAGTTCTGCTGCTGCTGCTGCTTCATCATAGCTTGCTTTGCCAGACTCTCTTAATCACTTAGCCATTTCATGTTTTAACCTGGGTCCTAGACTCAGAACTGTGAGCATGAGATTTCTGTGGTGAATTTCAATAAATCAAAAGTAGGCTTGCAGCTTACAGAGCTAACGTTTTAAGCATGTTTTTATTTTAAGTTAAAAAAAAATCTTTGCGTTTGTGCCCTTTATAAAGTTTATATCTCTGCTACCTGACATTATATTTTATGACACACATGGCCCGGGCCAACAAGGTCTCATTTATGTCAGATCTGGCCCTCATAACAAATGAGTTCGACACCCCTGTTCTAGATGTTTTTATGTTGCACTCAGACTGTCAACAGACCACAAGCCTCCCTAAACCCAAACAGGGATTACTGGGGTACTGCCTGTATTGCCCCTCCCAGAGACCCTTCTTAGATTTTGATCAGCCTCCTGTATCTCATCTCCACAGTTCCTCTTTTCACATTCCAGAGAAATTGGGAAGCACAGAGCATTGCTTCGCAGTCAAACACCCAACCCAGACGTGATGGCAGGTCTCAAACAGCAGCTGAGAGCTGCGTAGTGCTTTCTCCAAGGCAAATCTGTAGCTTTAGCTCAGTGCTTGGCTTGCAGAGGGTCCCAGGTTCAACCCCCAGCACCTCCCACCAAAAGGATAATGCAGTTGGTGATGGGAAGGCCCTCTAACTGAGGTGCTGGAGACCCACACACCCAGTCAGAGTAGACTAATGGTTTGAGTCTGTATCAGGCAGCTTAAATAAGAGGCCGTGGTTCAGTAGCAGAGCATCTGCTCCTAGGCTCAGTCTCATATCTTGTTAAAAGGATCAGGAGGGCAGTGCTGTGAAAGACCCTGTCTGAGACCAAGGAGAACAGTTGCCAGTCAGAGTAGACTCTACGGTCCTTGATAGACCAGTGGACTGACTCAGAAGCCATGCTTTTGAACCTTTTAACAGCAGCCTTGTAGGCAGACATTCAGCAGGTGGAGCTTTGCCCTCCAGTTTATCCCTGTGCCAGGAAAAGCTTCCATTGGCTTAATGACTGCCTACAGGGCTCTTGTGAAAAATATAACAGCCAGGCTTGGAAAATTTGACAACCCTATTCAGGGGCAAAGCATGACAGCAATGTCTTTTCGAGCTCTCCAGGAACCCACCAGGATAAGTAGCAGATCTGGTTTCGTTTGTCAGCTTGCTTCCTTTCATTCGCTGCAACTAATACCCACCTCTGATTACCAAAATACTATGACTGTTCTGTCTTTTAGCTTATTGAGAAAAAAAAACAGCCAAAACAAGATGTTTTGCTGTGTTCCATGTTTTCTGAAACCCCTGCCTGTTCACATAAAGCCCACAAAAGGGGGCTTTGTGGTTTGTTGCCATCCCAAATGACAGCATCCCTTCAATGTTTCTGTGTCTCAAGCAGCTTGCCTTTGATATCTTTCTGCCAATTAAAAAAAAAAACACCTTTAAATATTTGAGGAGAAAGACAAGCCCATGATAATGCCCCTGAAATAACAGCACAGTGTCAATTTGTTTCTGGGAGGAGCTGGAATACCAAGTAATGAGCCGGTTGCCAAAGTGAGAAAAATGGGGGGATGGGGCTCCTTCCTGCCATAAAGAGCCAGCTGGTACACATCAAAAGAAAATTGCTTGGCCTCAAAAGCAAAGGCCTCTAGGAGCTGATCGTGGAGATGATAATTTTACATTTGCTGAATATAGATTGTCCAACAACAACAAAAATCATTGTTCTCCAAGTAGCTAATGGTTTGCTAGATTCCTTCCCCCCTGCCTGTGCGCTGGGATGAATTGCTCCACATTGCCTTGGCTGTAAGATCCAAGACAGTTATAGCTCTGTGGGTGCAGAGCTGTAATGGGGCTAAATGGCCAACTAATTCACCTTCCCATTATATTTATCCTGGAGACCTGCAAACAAAGGTCTGCCTTAAACCAGAGTGTGAAATTCAGCCCTCTCCACACTCCTGCCCAACTACTGTACAGGAACCTACCTGTCCTTGGGCCAGCAGTGAAATATCCCCCCCCCCTAGTGTCTTGCATCCCTACCTGGCAGAATACCCCACCCTGTGTGAAGTTCTTTTCACCCTGCCCAAATGTTCAATCAATTAACAGCAGCTGCACTGTTCCTCCCACACACACACACACACACACACAACCCTCCTTTCTTTGTTAAAATGTTCATGAATATTCTCTGACTTCGCAGCTGCTCAGCTGGCAGCTTCTTGCCGAGAGCTTGACGGGTAATAACACCTTTTAGTTTTTTTATATGCATTTCTGCAAATATTAGAAATCAGAGATTGTTACACTACATTTGATCTTAGCCAAAAAGGCTGAGAAGCAGAGATGGTTAATGTTTAGACAGTCTTCTTACTGTTGATCGTCAACGTTTGGAAGAAAAGCAGTAACTGCCAATTTCTGATATTCATAGTATATACATATAACAACCCCAGCCTGTATCCTGCCTTATGTGTGTAGGGCTACAAACTGCATTATAGTCATCCGGTTTTCAAACCTCACTTTGCCAGAATTCCTAGATTTCACCATCAGCATCAAAGCAAGTTCTGTTTGGTGAATCTTGCAGCAGATGGAAGCAGCTTCAACGTGATTCGAGGTGAAGGCAGATTCTCATGCCCTGGTAGTTAACAGAATATTCTTGATCGGGGTTACAGCTAAACCACCCACAGGGTAATCTGTAATCCAGGGGGTGACCGCAGACCTACTCTCAGTTTCTGCCAACCATCAGATGATTATCAATCATTCCAGTCAACTTGGATGCAATCAGAGGCAGCCCTGCTTGTGAGGCTTTGGATATAAAGACCAACATAATAACCAGGCAAGGGGTTGAATCCAGACTAAATTTTCCACTCCCTTCCATCAGTCGAACATAACTTTCCCCTCTTCTGCTGCAGCCCACTAATCTTCCCCAAATGCTGTTCTTGGGGGATGGATGACCCTCAGGAATGGTGTCAGGAGCAAATTGGGGATCTGTGGCAGGAAGGAGGAATTGGCGGAAATTGCGCCTTCAATTAGAGGAAAATTTAGTCTGCATCCAACTCAACCTCCCCCAGTATCTGTACTGCTTCGTATCTGGCAGGCAAGCAACAGGAGCCAGGGCTGGCTGGGAGGCAGGCAGGAATCCAGGTGGGCAGGCAGGAGGCAGGGTTGTTCAAGCAAGCAGGAGTCAAGCTGTCAGAAGCCAAGGCAGTTCCCGCAGGCCTTGTGGGAGCTGTTGGACCAGCAAAGCTTCCAAAATTCTGTAGGGTTATATGAAGGATCCTCATCCTTTCTGATGACCTGGTTAAGGACCGGGCTGCTTTCAATAGCTACTGCACTACACACATCATTGGGAGGTGCTAACAGGGTGCAGGGCTTCCCAGGAGATTCCTGGTTTGTTGGCTCTCTGGGGATGGATTCCAGACCTGGTTGCTGCAGAAGGCTCATGGGGTCTGCCTACAGAGTGTTCAGAGATCTCAGGATCTGAGAGGGATTCCTCATCATCTGAAAAACCTGCCTCAGGAGAACTGGGTGAGCCATGACAGTCTCCAGCAAATTCCTTTGCTTCACCATGTCTTGCTACACCATTTCATACCACACCTTGAGAACCCAAAAGTTATGTCGCTCCCCTCCTTCCCTTGGACACCTGATCCCACCCTAGTCCAGTCCTAAGGCTCTTTCAGATTGTCCTGCCCACTTAGTCTGCCTTGACTCTACCTTAGGCCAAGTGGAATACCTTCCCCTCCCAGTAAAATAGTCAGAAAACTGAGCATTTATAACAACCCAGCAGGAAGAAAGCACTTTTCAAAGGTCCTCGAGAACAAACCACTCTTGAATAGTTCTGCAATACAGGAGTAGTAGCAGAAGGTGCTCTTTCCCAGAGATGTGCCAACCTTGTCTCCCAAAGTGAAGGTTCTCTTAGCAGGGCCACACTGGTTCACTTCCCGGGCAGATTAGCACAGAGTGCTTGCAAATCCTTGAGTAGATGTCTTGAAGCCCTATTCTTCCACTGTGGCCACCAACATTTGAGACTCTTCTCTCTGCCTTTCCCTGCCCCTCCTTCCCTGCATGGTCTGTAGTCATTGCAGGAGTTTGAATTGATGGAGAACCTTCTGAAAAGCAAACAGGAAGCCTCTGAGTGCTGGGACCAACGGAGCTCAGTCAGCGTCCGCTCGTCTTTCACCCGCCAAGAAAGGAACCGCCTGCTGTGGGAGGATGTCTCAGTCATTGAGGAAGATGCCACCAAGATCACCGCCCTGAAATTGCGTCTGGATGAATCTCAGAAAGTGCTACTCAAGGAGCGGGAGTGAGTGCTGCCTGTGACATCACTTCCTCTCTGGTCACATGATGGGGGGGCATCGCGAGTATTTGCAATAAAGCATTTATTTTCATAGAAGGAAGTCCGAAATGCTTGGAATCAGCCTTGTCTTCTGTCCTCCTCTCTTTCAGGGATAAGCTGTCCCTCAGCAAGAACATTGAGAAGTTGGAAGGTGAAGTGAGTCAGTGGAAGATCAAATTTGAGGAGCTGAACAAGAACAAGCAGGAAGTGCTGAAACAGGTGGGTGACCTCCAGGCCTTGGAACCAAGGGCTATCCTGACTGTGTGGGCAATCCAGGCTATTTTTTTTTTAAAAAGGGGGGACCTACTTAACCGTGGTTGCAGACCACTGGTCCTGTGTCACAATTACATACTGCCACTACTTTGGCCAGGAAAACTGTCCAGGCCAGCCTTGTCTAGGCTTTGGAGATAGGAGTTAAACAGGAGTGTTCCTGCTCATCCAAAAGGCTTTACCTGTTCTGCTCTTCGCCACCTCTGAACATTGCAGTGGAGTGGCTAGAATGTTAGTTTTAAAGGTGGGAATTGATGCACTGCAGGGCGAAGCAGGCCAGCTGTTATTCAGAGATGGCCTGGTGTTCAGTTTATTTATTGGATTTCGGTACTGCTGTTCTATACTGCTCAAAGTGGTTCACGATAAAACAATGCTAAGCATTAATTATATCTTCCCTTTTCCCTTCCCCCTGCAGTTTCCAATATTAGAACCAGTTCCTAAGCCAGCATTAGGATCACTAATGGGGGGGAAAATCTAATACCTTTATGCATTTAAAGACTTTCGTGTACTTAAACGTGTATTTAAAATGAACTAGCAGTAACTTTCCACTGTCAGTTTTTCTCTTGATTCAGCATTTTCGAGAAGGTGCACCCGTGTGCTCAGATTTATACATAATTGCATCTCAAAGCAGGTTATTCGTTACCCTTTTAAATATTTTAAAAGTATGTTGAAAACATATACATCTGAGCCCAAGGGGAAACCTTCACTGGCCCTTTGAACCATGGGAGAATTCCCTGTCAGCACAGCGACCTGCATTTACCAGACCCAGTCATGCTAAGGGACCTGCCCTCCAGCCTAATCTCTAGCTTCTCTTTTTCTTGCTGCAGCTGAACATTCTTAAGGAGATCCACCAGGATGAACTGGGGCGCATCTCAGAGGATCTGGAAGATGAACTGGGGGCTCGATCAAGTATGGACAAGAAATTGGCTGAGCTACGGTCAGAGGTGAGAATTAGGGTGTGGCACTTCACTGAAGGACTGAATCCTGGATCCTCTGAGTCTCTTAACGTCTCCTGCCTGTCACATACTGCCATGATCCTAGGCCAAAGTAGTGCAGCCTATAGGCTCTATGGAGGCCTAGTGGCTCCAGGGAAGCCTGTACTAGAGTGACTACAGGGCCTACATTTCCCAGGCCCCCTTTGGACACTGTGATTGGTTAGCAGGGGATTTGGGGAGGAAACTTGCATCAGTAGAGGAATAGAGGGTGGCACCTGGGAAGAAGGGGTAAAAGGTGTGGTGTATCCATCTGACAATGTATGTATGTGAACTCACTCATTGACTCACCATGTGAAGATTCCCGGAGGGAGAGGGGCATCCCCAATGTGATGATGTCATGTTGGGGATGTCCTGGCTCCAAGCCCCGCCCCTGTGGGGCCCTTTCGCCCTGGCTGCCTGCACTTAAATGATTCCTTTTAAGTGCAGGCAGCTGGAGAGCCCCGTGCACCTGATCTACGAGCAGCAATGCAGCTCGGAGATTGGGTGCAGAATGTTAAAGCTGTTCTGGCTATTCATGTGGATCTGTTTGGAGTTGAGTTACGAGTTGCTGAATAAAGCTGATCTTTTGCTGAAATCATTTTCTGACTCTTTGTTAAGTAACCGACTTAACAAAAGGCATCGCCCAAAGTGGGAGGTTGTTCTAGGGTTGCCAGGTCCATCTTCACCCCCAGCGTCGGTGCAGAGCTGTGGAGAGGCTGCTCCAGACAGAGGGATCCCTCATTCAGAAGGGGTGTCAGCTTGAAGCGAATCACCAAGAGACAGCTAGGAACAGTCTAGGTCAGGGGTGTCGAACTAATTTGTTATGAGGGCCGGATCTGAAGTAAATGAGACATTGTCGGGCTAGGCCACGTGAGTCTTAAAATGTGATGCCAGGTAGCAGTGATATAAACTATAAAGGACACAGACAAACACAATTAAAGATATCTTACCAGTTTCTGGGTAAGCATCAAGTTGGCATGTCCTCACTGCAGTGCCCCAGGTGCAGAGGAAAACCCACACAGGCAAACTGTAGAGTCAGCAGTGTAGCAATGGGCTGATGCCCCCATGCTGCTGCCTGGAGTGGGGAACAAACCCTTTCCCCAGCACTCTCTCATGGTCAATATTCTGAGCCTAGAACCCAGGAGAAAACATGAAATGGCTGGACATTGCAAGCTTCTCCCTGCCCACCCCCCAGGTCTACTTAGAATGGCAGTGGCTCTCTCAGGTTGAAGTCTTTCTCATAAGCCACAGCCTGATCCTTTTAACTGGAGGTGCCAGGGATAGAGACTGGGACTCTCTGCATGCCAAGCAGAGGCTCTTCAACTGAGCGGCTAGGCCACGTGAGTCTTAAAATGTGATGCCAGGTAGCAGTGATATAAACTATAAAGGACACAGACAAACACAGTTAAAGATATCTTACCAGTTTCTGGGTAAGCATCAAGTTGGCATGTCCTCATTGCAGTGCCCCAGGTGCAGAGGAAAACCCACACAGGCAGACTGTAGAGTCAGCAGTGTAGCAATGGGCTGATGCCCCCATGCTGCTGCCTGGAGTGGGGAACAAACCCTTTCCCCAGCACTCTCTCATGGTCAATATTCTGAGCCTAGAACCCAGGAGAAAACATGAAATGGCTGGACATTGCAAGCTTCTCCCTGCCCACCCCCCAGGTCTACTTAGAATGGCAGTGGCTCTCTCAGGTTGAAGTCTTTCTCATAAGCCACAGCCTGATCCTTTTAACTGGAGGTGCCAGGGATAGAGACTGGGACTCTCTGCATGCCAAGCAGAGGCTCTTCAACTGAGCCACAGCCCCTCTCCCCCAATCTAAAGTTCACATGAACGAGCCCAGCAAAAAAACTACGTAAGTAAATAGAAACACACCGACCCACTTTAGTAAGACAAGGCATGGAGGAGGCAAGGGGGAGGCAGAGCCAGTTGCACCCAGGAGTTCCAAGGCAGGAGCCCAGCAAAAAAATTAGCAACACAGACCCACCTTAGCAAGCACAGATGCGGGAGGCAAAGCATGGAGGAGGCAAAGGGGAGGGGGAGCCAATTGCACCCAGGAGTTCCAAGGCAGGAGCCCAGCAAAAAAATTAGCAACACAGACCCACCTTAGCAACACAGACACGGGAGGCAAAGCATGGAGGAGGCAAGGGGGAGGGGGAGCCAGTTGCACCCAGGAGAGCCAAGGCAGTCCAAAAAAAAAGAAAGAATAGAAGCACAGACAAAGCACAAAGGAGGCCCACTTCCTCGCAGGCCAGATTAAAGCCCTGGGCGGGCTGATTCAAGCCCGCGGGTCGTACATTTGACACCCATGGTCTAGATACACGCATTAGAGTGTTTTATTTTGTTTGTGTACCTGCCTTTACTGTTTTCTTTATCCTACATAGTACTTGCATTACAGTTGTTATTATACCTCTAATAAAATTGCTGTTACTCTGCCTGGGTCCTCATGCCTCATTTGGTCACTTATAGGGTGGAACCTGTTGGAAAAGGAGTGGATAAAGGGGTTGGGTGGGTGCTCTGGGCCCTCTCAAGGAGACCCATACCAGAGTGGTGGCAGCCATTAGAGAGCTTTTCTAGCTGCTGCCCGCAACACATACCTACTTACCTCGTTTAAATTTAATGACAACTCAGCACCAAAAACCCTTGGCTGGCTCTAATATTACAAGAGCATAAAAACTGTGCCTTTTGACTTTCTGGGTTTGGTGTGTTCAGTTTGTAGCCTACCACCACACAAATCCGCCTAAAGAAATTTATGATGATTTCATGTGATCTTTTCAGCCTATGGCACTTAGAACATTTGCATTATGTTCCTGGGAAAGAGGCTTTCATTATCTGTGGGCCCTTGACTTCTGATTCCAAACCCTCTGAAAGAATGTAGAATCTATGTGTGTCTAGGGTTCCCCTTCAAAATAATGGCTTCTGCAACTTCCTTTTGAAAATTAGCAAATGTTTTATGGGATATTAAGCCTCCAGAGTTTGGGAGGGTGCACACTACACAGGAAAAGTTTTTTTAAAAAATAAATCATTTGCACCTCAGAATACAGATTGCCAGTTTCAATAATCCACACTTGTGGTGAGTACTGTTGCCGGCCATCACTTCACCTGCCAGCAATGTAGTAAGCTGTAATATATACAGGAGGCCATAGAAGTCCAACATTCTATTACACAGCGGCATATTGCAAAGAAACAGAATCCACGATGGAGATATGCAGATGAAAGTATGGAGCTATGCAGCTGGGAGGCACCTCAGTTCTTAGTGGTTCCCACTAAATTCTGCATGCTCATAATCTTGGACTGAGTTGAAAGGGGCGAAACTTGCCTGTCACTCAAGATCTGGGTTTATTAGGGACAGGGGTAGGATTAGCCCTCTACAGTCGCCTCTTTATTTACTCCTGTACAAGTGAATAGTCACCATTCACTCCTAGGGGGGAACATCATGAAGCTTTGTATTTAGGCATATTAATGCAATGGGAGCAAAAGAGGCCTTCTGGGACATCTCACCCTGCCCTGAATGAAATAAGTAAAATACCACTTGGGTTGGTTGTGCAGTGGAGCTGGCTTCGGCCATTGGTCTTAGCCCATGTGCTCAGTGTGTCAGTTGTGGCCATTTGAGCAGGCCTTTAGTAACCACAGGATAGTCTGTGAGTGACACCAGGCTGCCTCTTGCAGGCACTTCTCAGTAGCTGGCCTGACCGTACCTCTGTCCTTTATCTCCTGAAGATGGAGCGTCTGCAAGCTGAGAATGCAGCAGAATGGGGGAAGCGTGAGCGCCTCGAGACAGAGAAGCTCAACCTGGAACGGGAGAACAAGAAGCTGCGGGCCCAGATCGAGGACCTGGAGGAGGTCTTGGCCCGCAAGAGGAGGCAGACGGCCAGTGCCCTTGACACCGATCTCAAGACCATCCAGACGGAGCTCTTCGAGAAGAATAAGGTGACATTCATTCAAGTCCGGGAGAAGGATTTAGCTGTTAGAACCTGGGACCTGTGGGGTAGTAGGAGATACTGAATGAAACCTATTGGCTAAACCGGGCCTTTGGTCTCCGAGACTAGGCGGCACCATCGCTTCATCCAGCTAAGAGTTCTTAAACAGCCAACACAATCAAGAAGGAGCACAGGTTGTGTACTGAGATAGTTGTACTTCCCAGTAATGTTTCCCATGAGAAAACATTGGGTGCGTTTGCTTCATGCTCGGTGTGCAAGTGTTTTACCGACACGATCCACCACGAAGGTCTCCTGTGTATGCTTTTTGTCAGATTCTGGGCATCAGATTTATGAGGAGGCAAAGTGAACACTTTAGGCTGCCTCATCCTGAGCTGCCTTAAAACCGAGTCAGACAACTGGGCTATCTAGGTCTGTCGCAGCAGCTCCAAGGGGAAGTTTGGCAAGAAGGGAGAAAGCCAGTCTGAAAGTGGAACCTGTTCTATGGGGCCGCCGTCTTCCCTGTAGGGAGACATGAGTGTAAAACAATCAAATACCACATTGGTTTAGAAGGATGCACACAACTGGAAACCACTGCTTTAGCCTTTAAAATACAAGCAAGTGGGACTGTGTTTTGTAATCCTGAATCTGAGGCGAGGGTGGGAAGGCGGCATGATAAAGCCCGATCTTGTTGGATCTCGGAAGCTAAGCAGGGTCAGCCCTGGTTAGTACTTGGATGGGAGACCTCCATGGAAGACTGCAGAGGAAGGCAATGGCAAAACCACCTCTGCTTCTAACTGGCCTGGAAAGCCCCTTGCTGGGGTCGCCGTAAGTTGGCTGCGACTTGACGGCAATGTTA